GGATGGATGGATGGATGGATGGATGGATGGATGGATGGATGGATGGATGGATGGATCCTCTAAGAGAAAATCAGAATAAGAAAACACTAATTAAAATCATGGTTTTTAATTATTTGTTTTTAATTCAATTAAGTTTGAATTCAGTTTATTTATATAGCGCCAATTCACAACACATCTCATCTCAAGGCACTTTAAAGTTCACCAGATCATACAGTCAAAATGATTCAAACTTTTCTATCCAAGGAAAACCAGCTGATTGCATTGACTCATTGTCTTGAGAGCAATCCCTAACACTAAGCATGCTTATAGCAACAGTGGAGAGAAAAACTCCCTTTTAACAGTAAGAAACCTCCAGCAGAACCAGGCTCAGTGTGAGCGGCCATCTGCAGAGGCCGGCTGGGGTTCAAAGAGACAGAAGCAGAGATACAAATGCAACTGTCAACCAGCCCCACAGGCGGCCGCATCCAGGAAACACACAACCAGACCGACGAGCTCCGAGCCAGTTCACATGTCAGAGGATGAAGAGAGTTCCAGTGGTTGATAAAGTACTCAACAGTAGTACTTGAGTAAAAATATTACTTCTCATAGTCAAATCTTACTCAACTGCAAGTAAAAGTTACTCAGTCAAATGTCTACTCAAATTAAAGTATCGAAGTACTCACTTTTGAAAATACTTTAGTATTCAAAATAGTTTATTTAAAAGTACTTAAGTATTCAAAATGGTTAATTACATGTTCTAATATCAGTACGTTTCTTTGTAATTTACAGAGTAGTTCTACCACCTGGTATATTGCACAACAAACAAACCAATAAGTAAACTTGAGTGTCTTAATTCTCCTCACACTTTCACTGTGGAACTGAGGGATATGGTTGAATCTATTATCAGTGAAACAGCACTATGCTGAAAAACAGGCCAAGCTCCAAAGTCTATAAACAAAGGCGTTGATGGCAACAGCCCAGCTGATATTTTTCTCCAGGATGGAGTCACAGCAAAATAGGAACAGACCAGATGAAGCTACTATGAGAAGAAAGAAGAGAGAGCATAACGATAGATATTGAACTAACAAAGTTTGCAGAATGGGAGAATAGAGATAGAATTAAGCAGAACGGTAAAACACGGTCCCTATGAGCCACTCTAACTATAAGATTTATCAAAAAGGAAAGTTTTAAGCCTACCCTTAAAAGTATCTGATTTTGCTGCTTTTGAATGAAGATAATCACTGATGTATCTGTAAGAAAAAACCCGTCAATTAATCTATATTTTCCTTGATGGATGAATAAAACTTAAATTGTTTCCATAACAGGGAGGCATAATTTATTGCTGTTGGCATCTGAATCGGCTGTTATTCATCTTTTTTTTTTTTTTTTTTTTTTTTTTTTTTAATATACATTAATGTCTAACTACAGAGGCGTAGCCAGAAAATCCTAATAGGGTTGGGCAGTCAATAACCAATGTACATTGAGAGGTGGCCGAACAGGAACAACCACAACATCCATGTTTTCTAAAAAAAAAGACTTACTATACTTTCCTACAGCCTTTGCTCACAAATAGATGCAGATATTTAAGCATCCAAAATTCTTTCAGGTTTGAGATCTGGGGCGAATATCTTTTACATTGTCGTTACCTATGTCATAATTGGTTTTATTTATTTGACCCACATGCAGAGAACCACTCAGAGGCCAAGGCCAAAGTTTAACAGGTTTATTGAATGTAGAAAAACACTGAAGAAGAAGCTGGAACTCAGCGGACTGGTAAACCGGAACCGGAAAGTGTTTGGGGGGCTCTTTGTTAATCCTTGAAACCAGTTGGTGGGGGGTTAATCCAGAGAAGAGAGAACACGTTGGAGAGCATACAGGCAGACACACGTTGGACCCAGAGGAGTAAAGGAGTGTACTGTCACTTGGTGTTCCAGATGAGGACTTGAACGGATCATGTGGAGATTTTCCCCGGCTCAGTGTGAACTCAGTAAATCCTTCCAGGGGGAGAAGGTCCAGGCTATCAAGTTGCACAGGAAGGCTTCCCAAAACTGGCAAACACTCTGGCCTCGAGGTAGTGACAGCCCGCTGCTCAAATACTCCTCCGGTAATGACCCAACGAGCCGCAGGTGTGCAGGGAGGCCCAATGAGGACAGGGCAACACCTGGTGGTGGAGAGAGGAAAACACAAAAACAACCCACACAAACTAGAATCCTAACAACCTACTTTTATCAATAGTCATTCTGCAAAAAAAATGATATTTACATGTACTAATATGCACATTTAATTAATGTTTAAGTTATTATTAAAGTAGCTATTTATCTCTGATTTCACTGAAGACTCCTAGATGACTTGCGGAGACACATAATTTTATCTTTACCCCGCAAATAATTCAAAGTTTAGTTTTGAGAAAAGCATAGGAAAGGATTCAAAAAATGTATTTTTGAGGTTATTTTTGGAACATACAAACCCTATTAAAGGCATTTGTGTCCATCAGCCGCCTTAGAGTGTCCCCACCAACTTTCATTACAAAGTTATACCCATGTCTGTGTGTGACCACTGGCGGTGTTGTGGCCCAGCTTTGATGACACAAAAAAGTGGAAATCCACAAAGGCCACAGATGCACCATGGACTAATTTTACGCAGGCAAAAGAAAAAGTGTTCCAGGTAAACTTCTTTAGTTTTCTGAGTTTATTTTTCCCCAGGCAAGCAAACAAAAAAGACAAACATTTCCTTCATGTTTCTCTTGCACTGGTAAAAAAAAAACATAAGCCCACCCAGATGCATGCGGGCCCTACCATTGACTGCCTATTTATAAAAAACAATTCACCTAAATTAATCATAACTAACCGAAAACAAAGGAACATGACCAAATAACCAAAAAAACATAATCTCATAACAGATATCAAACAACAAAGTAAAATAAACTTAGTTCGATTATGCACAAAAACAAAAAACATTTTTAATTATTAACAAAAAATAATTGGCTCCTACAGGCGGTTCTAGACCAAATGTACCAGGGGGCCGGTGTTTTTCCATAGGGGCACAGAAAAGCATGAAATTCAAATATATCAATATAACATTATGAAGTGAAATTTCTATTCAATTATTACAAATTTAAAAAAAATGTCTTATTAGATCAATATACATTCATAATTTAGAATTTTTACATATTTTTGACTTAATTTAAGCAAAATTTACAATTTTCTAAAAAATCTGAATTAGAACAAAAAACCCCCGATAAATTCAGCTTTTTTTAAAAAAAAAAGTATTATTATGCCTTCAATAGGTACAGGGGCCATAATAGGGGCCAGGAAATGATCTACGGGGGCACTGGCCCCTGTTGGCCCCTGCCAAACACAATGGGATTCAATGGTCAACGAGAGAAACTGGAAAACCTTTACTAATAAAATGTTAGTTATAGCCCCATAGTAGCCGCCTGGTGGCGCTGTTCCCTCTTCCTGTGGCCCAGCTCAGATGAGGGGGGGTGTAAATCAGGGAGGAGGCAGCAAAGGCAGATTTGGACAAGGATGAACGCCGCGTTTGGTGCATGGCGCGTGTTTTGAAGCTGCTCTGCTTGTGGAGAAATGTCCTGGGCCGTGAGTAGTGAGGAAACAGGAAGCGATTCTTGTGGGATGGAAGAGGGAAATAGTGACAATGAAGGTTGGAAGATAGCAGCATCAAAAAATGAGAAAAAGCGGAAAAAACAGAGATCAGTTAAAGGGGAATCTAGTTCAGAACAATCCAGTGATGATCAATCCATACATTCCACAGCACAACAAAATGAATTCAAAGTCATATTCAAAGTCGTTAATCAGGCAGACTCTTTTACAAACTGGAATCCGGTTCACTTAACAAAAACCATCAATAAACTTGTTGGAGAAGTCAGAGGTGCCAGAATTCTGTACAGTGGAGACCTGCTAATTAACTGCAGAGACAGCGCCCAGCAAGGCAAAGCAATACGTATTAACAAAATTGACGGGATAAGAGTTCAGTGCAGCCTAATGGAGAACAAAAAGATCAGCAGGGGAGTCATTGGAGGAGTTCCTCTGAAAATTTCTGAAAAAGAGATTCTGGAAAACATAAGCGGTGCAAAAGTAAAAGAAGTAAAACGGTTAAAAACAACAAGAAACGGAGAAAGATCTGACAGTTTATCTGTACTAATTAAATTCGAGGAAGAGCAATTACCAAGCAAAGTATTCATCGGTTACATCAGTTACAATGTCAAAATCTACAATCCACCACCATTGAGATGTTTCAAATGTCAAAAATTCGGACACATTGCAGCAGTTTGTAAAGGGAAACAGAGGTGTGGAAGGTGTGCAGGAGAACATGAATATGGTAAATGTGGAAAAGAAGCTAAAATAAAATGCTGTAATTGTGGTGGAGAACATACTGCTGCTTATCGCGGCTGTGAAGCAAGCAAAAGGTCTGAAGAAATAAAAAAAATGAAATTTGAGCTTGGAATAACTTATGCTGAAGCTGCAAAAAGGATCCCATCTCAGTCAGAAAAACCCAAACCTACAGTTCAACACACGGCAAATTTCAAACCTCTAGAGAAATCTCCAAAATTGATGAAGACTCACTAATTGTTAAAAAGACAAATTTTGTTCTTTTCATGGTGGAAGTGATTAATTGTACTGCTCAGACGACAAAAAAAACAGAAAAAATCAAAATAATAGTGAAGGCTGCAGAAAAATATCTGGATGTTAAAGATATGAACTGGGAGATGGTTGGAAGCATGATGGAAAGACCAATGGGACCATCAGAAACTGGCAGAGGTACGATGACCTAGAGTAAATTAATTATACGGGCAAATGTAATTTAGTATAATTTTGTATTATGTGGGTTTAAGTTACACAGGTTATTTTATTGTATTTTTTTTTTTTTTTTTTTTTTTTTTTTTTGGGGGGGGTGAATCGTTTCCTGTTTCCTTGCTTTACTCCATATCAGTTGGTGGCGGTAATGCACATTTCACAAGTTTGCCAACCGCCATAAAATCTCATAAGAAGAAGAAGAAGGCAGATTTGTCCACATTTCCACAGCAGTCTGACACAGAGGCGCTTCCCAGTCGAGCTCAGTGAACAAAACCAATCAGGGAATCTCTTATTTTAGCCTCTTTGATTTGGAAAAGAACCCTCTTTAAATACTCCCACTACCAGTCTTTTTGTTTTTCTTCTTTTTTCCCCTGCTCTCCCTTCCTGCGGACGCCTGGGCGCACAAACAGCTGAGGGGATATAAGTAGTTTCCAGCAGAGGATCAGGAGCGCCTGGAAGATGGGTTCAGTCCCACTCATATCTGCCCTCCTCCTTGGGGTCGTGGTTCCTTCCCTGGCCGGGTACATAGAGGTAAATCTTTCTGTTTATTACTCTGATTTAAAGCCAAACCATGCCTGTGGAGGGAGCCATTAGAAGCGATCATGTCGGTCTGTTTATTTGCGTCTTTGCGCATTACCTCTCCTTATGTGAACTGTAGCCTATTGATCGGGCTTTATGCCAACAAGTAGCGGGGATGATCGCCTCCGTTTATTTTCCTTTTTTTCTTTTCATTTCAAATATAAGATCATAAAATTATACAAGGAGGGTTTAATAATTAATCAGCTGGTATCCAGGTCATTCTCCGCCTCATTCCTGAGCTGTGATTGCAGTTTTGTCAGTGGACAATGTGCGGCCGGGGTGTCCTGTAGTAGGAGGTTGAATAACAGCAGAGTTTTTGCTGCAGAGATCAAATGAAAGACGCACAGAGGGGCCTACAGGGGACACAATGGCTTCTGCAGTGGATCATAGGGAGAGGAAATCACTTAGGTCCAAAATGTGGCTTTCCTGGTCAATAGGGCAGTCTCCTTCTCTCCTATAAACATTTACGGATGGTTGCAGCTTAGTTATTATTGACTTGCTATCCATTGAAAGTGCAATTCAATTCAATTTATTCATAAAGCACCAGTTCAGAGTGAATGACATCTCAGCACATATGGTCAGATCAATCGACTACAGTATAAACAGAGGCAGTCATTTATTTAATTTCACTGCTAGTTTCTGTATAATGAAGCCATATTTAGTGTATAATACCAAATTGGTATAATAATTGGAGGAACCCCAGACAATTGCTTCCTTGATTACAGAAATCCCACATCCTGAGCAAGCACTTGAAGACAGTGGGAAGGCAAACATGCTTCTAATGGGAGTAAAACCTCCAGTTGGAGGCCCTCTGCAGGCGGCAATGATTCATTACAAAACATTATAAGGTTTTCATTATGTTCCTCATGCACATGGTCACAGAAGGAATTCACACCACTTGTTGGGGATATGTTCTTTTAAATTCAACACCAATATGTGCCTCTCCCTCCCCCTGAAAAAAGGCACCAGCAGTATGTCAATACAAATGTCTGCCAGTGTTTTCCCATAGAGGAAGGTTCAGATTTCCTGTGTCCATGGAAAGAGCAGTGTTTTCCAAATGTTACACTCTGGAATCCATTCTCAGGCCTTTGTGGTGTTTGCAAACAGTAGAAACGCAAAATAACTTTTTTGTTTTCACCAAAACAAAAAAGGCGGCCTGTAGTCGGGGCCTAAACAGTCGCTCACTCCGCTAAAACCAACAATATATAAAAGAGCAACAATCTATCACATCCTTATCATAGATGGTGCAATTCTTTTTAGAGTTTGCTTTTTGCAGCCATATTGGATTGAAATGATCACAGCACCACTTTTTTTTACACTACAGACAAGGAAACAAGGATTTAAACCTCAATACAAGGAGTCCATCCAATCCGGTAAATTAGGAGGGACATTTAGGCCAGAGCAGAAGTGCGTCAGTGGTCACCATGATAAACTAAATAGTGCTGCTAATGAGGAAAGAGGTAGGAATCGGAAGCAGGAAGCTTCTTATCGATAGTTCATCGATAGTTCAGTGACACATGCTAATGTAAAAACCTTCACATGTTTTGGGTTTAACTAAAGAGAGCTACATTTGTGTAGCCTGTAGCCTGAGTTTTTTTTTTTTTTAGTTCTTTTTTGAAGTCTCAATTTGAAGTCCAGATGGCTGAAGGGAGTCCAGATAGAGTTCCTTTCCTAGACACAATGACGATCATATTGTTACCCCATAAATGGTGAAGGAACAGGAGCTAAGGGCTACAGTTTGCAGTGTTCAGATTAAGGGACAGAGAGGCTATGGTGATGTGAGTCAAACATTTCTGAAGAGCAGAAATAAAATGTTATGTGTCTAAGATTCTATCTGCTGAATACATGAACAGAGAAGAGTGTAATAAACTCTATAGCAGTGAGAAAGGAGGAGAAAAAAAAGCCTCTGATTACTTTAGACAGTCAGAGACTTTGACTCTTAGGATAAGCTTTTTTTTCATGGTTCGGGATACAATAAAAGATTTCCCAACTCTTAGCTAAACAATATCATGTAAAATCTAAATTAACACTGAATCGAAATGTGTACTAATCTAAAAAACATAATGGATAAAATAGCAGTTGATTCAGTTAGAGTAAAGTGGGCGTTCTTTTCTCATATGTTTTGTCATGTTATTATAGTTTTTGCTAAATTACAGTTCTCTGCACCCTGAGGGGTTTTGACAGAAGTCCTAAAACAGTGAGAGAGGCAGGGTGCTGAAAGACGACAGAACTCACTACATTTTTCACATCCAATTTTTAATCAGATTTTGATTTATCCATTGAATATGTGGAGTTTAAAAAGAGTACCGGTAGTTTATATATAGATGTCTCTGAATGTGAAATCACACACCCAAGGTTTCCTGTTTTACTTTAAAACCATAAAGTTAATCAAAGGATTTTAATAACAGTTGTGTGAAAACCATAAAAGGTGTGAAAATTCTAATCCAGCTGATAAAAGACCACCGCTCAGTGACCCGTTTAAACATTTAAAGGTGCTGCTGCTGTGAAAGAAGTCTGAGCTACGGGGCTACAAATATGGCCGGGTTTTCTCGCTGCTCTCGCCACAACCCCATTAAAATAAAGGGGAAATGTTTCTTGCCAATGTTGTAAAAATTTCACAATCTGATCTCAACGAGTCATTTCACCTCTATCCAATAGAGCTGCGTGTTTTAAAGTAAATTATGTTCTTTTTTTAATTTTATATTTTTTTTAATTATCAGAGATTATAAGAGATTGATGCACTACTAAAATATTAGATTGAAAAATAAAAAAATAGGGTGTTTTTAATGTTTAGTTATGCTAATATAAAGCTTGTAAGCAGAAGCTTTTTATCAGTTGTAATGATCACAAAACAAAGCGCTTCAATCCCCTACTTCCCCTTCTGTGGAGTAGGGGATTGAGTCCCCTATCTCTGCTCAAATGTGACAAACACTTTCAACAAGATGCCTCCTCCTGGCCCTGGTGGGTGTTTATCAAGAAATGGTTCCCCTTTCTCATTTTTGGAGCAACAACAAAAAAGGTTAACGGCTCAGCCATTTTGAAGCTGTGGAAACATGGATCGTGTGTGGAGGCAGCAGCGGGGTGGGGAGCGATGCTCGTTATTATGTCCACAATAAAATCTGCTTTGCTGCACTCTGAAAAAGGCCAGTCTTTCCTGTGCCTCAAACATATGGATCTTCTTGCAGATTCTCTATAATAATAAATTCTTTCAATTCCACAATCTTTATCTTTTTTTTTTTTTTTTTTTTGCATGTTGACTGTGTGAGGCATCCTGGCCATATGTGTGGTTCAATCATTGAATAATGTTCGAAATCCTGGCCTTTTTCTTAGTTAATTCTTGCAGAGAATATGCATATTTCATAATATTTTATTCCTTAAAGTCAGGGTTGGAAACAGGAGCTAAAACATGATTTTTAAGGGCTTATTGTCACTTGATTGGATCAATTGATAAATTTAATCTAGCTCAAAATTAATTTCAGACCTGATAGGAACTGGAGATGTTCATGTTGAGGCAGGACAGCTGAAAAGCGGCTTCAAACATGTGTTACCTGCCGTTTGTCAGTGAATCGGCCTGCAGAGTTACATATTGCTGCTCTGTCAGGCTTCGTTGCACTCCAGCACCTTTAGCTGAGGGTTATAGGCTGCTGGGAGTTGCTTACTTCTCCTTTGTCTCTCCTGGTTCCTGCTTTCCAATCGTTTTGAGATTAAGCCAGCTTTTTCAGCTGCATAAACAGTTGTGTTTTGGCTGCTACCTGAGAGGAGGGGCCTAAATCTGAGCTTTTGTTTTCTCAGCTGGAGTTTTAACCCTCATCTATGTGAGCATCTGTGTCGCAGATCTCTTGTTATCTAATGCCCAAAGAATATGCGTTAAAAAGCAGGTTTTAAGATCATTCCATGTGGTGGTATGAAATCCAGAGCGAACAGCTGGAGCTCCTCTGGAGTTGATATGCTGTTCAGGGTGCAGGCTAGTGTCAACTATGTGGTTCACCCAGAGAGTTGCATCATTCTGACTTATTTGCTGATGCGGCTCCCTTTGGGTTGATGATCACAGTATCTAAAATGCAGACTCTGTGCAGTACTGTCAGCTGATTTAACCTGCCAAGGATTATCTCCAACATTACAACCCGTTACACAACATCACATCACATTTTTTCTGAATATTAAAAATAGCCATTTAAGATAATCAGGTTATATTAACATAGTGCAATCTGCAACCACGTGCAGTTCAAACCATTAGATGCATTGTATTTATTAGGTATGATTCAATATTGGCATGCTGCTCGTATCACAGCAATCCAAGGTTTAAAAAAGTCTGATCCACCACCCAATCAAGAACAAAATGTCACTACTATTAATCTGAGGCATTATAACTAAGAAATCCCATCATTGTAAAACTGAAATAACCAATATATATATATATATATATATATATATATATATTTGGTTTCAATACCATCTTATAAAAGTTAGGAACTTAAATGCATGTGTGGGATAATCATCATATATTCATTAATATCCCAGTTGAATGAAAGTGAAAACCATGTTTTCCGGACTATAGACCGCTACTTTTCCCCCCCACAGTTTGAATCATGCCCATGGATGAAAATTTGATTTCAGAAGTGAGGTGGATGCAAGTATTTTTTTAATATAACTAGTGGCGCATCAGATGTTTGTAAATTGAGCTTCTTAAGTCTGATTTATACTCAAAAAGCAGTCCGTCTGCGTGTGTGTCGCAGTGAATGCAAATGTGACTCTGCTCCCTCCACAGACACTCTGCTGCACCTCTCCAAAATTGTAGGTGACCGCAGACAGTGCTGCAGACAGGGGGCCTCTGATTGGTCAAATCTACATCCGCTCTACGCTATGCGTATTTCCTGTTTGGTACCATACAGGCTTGTTTTGTTTGTATCAGCGCCATTGCGGAAAAACGACTCGTGAAGTTGGACCATCTA